CTCTGCAGTGAGCTGAAGGCCCTCAGGGAGGAGGATGGAAAGAGCCCTCTTGGAAGAGGCCATGCTAGAGGCCTTTGCAGGGCCAGCCTGGGGCCAGGTGGGGGCCTGAGGGGAGAGCTGCTTCACCTGTGGGTTTGTCACTCTCTTGTCACTCTTGAGGGTTCTATCTGCATCTCCTTTTCCTGACTCCCACTTGCAGGAGGGCACCAAAGGGTGGGGGAGGGGCCACGCAACCCTGGACCAAGGTAGTTTTGTGAACTTGTCCGACACTTGTTTGCCACTTGTCACTGCCCTCCCTGGCAGGCCCCCTTCCATGGTCATAGGTGAATATGTAATTCACCTTTCACAAGCCAGATGGAAGGGACTGAGGGCCAGCTGGAACGACCCTTCCTATGCAGTGATCTACTCTCTAGCATCCATGAAAGTCCATGTTGGACCCTTTCAGTGACCAAGAGCTGGCTCCTCTCCAGGACAATTCCTGGAGGTTAGGAAGTGTCTTAATTTGCCTCCTAGAATCTCTCTTATTTAGAGTTGGCCAAACTTTTGGCAAAACCTTTCCCCTATCACTCACCTTCGTAGATGCCCCAGAACTGTACATTTTTTTAAATTTTTATTTTAGATGGGGGCAGTATTGGAGTTTGAATTCAGGGCTGTGCACTTGCTAGGCAGGAGCTCTACCACCTGAGCCACACCTCCAGCCTTTTATGCTTTAGGTTATTCTTCTAATAGTGTCTTGCATTTCTTCCTCCTGGGTCGAGCTTAAACTATGATCCTCCTACCTATGCCTCCTTCACAGCTGGGATGAAAGGCGTGTACCATGCCTGGCTTATTTGTTGAGAGGGGGGGTCTTGAAAACTTTTTGCCCAGGCTGACCTTGAACCATGATCCTTCTGATTTCTACCTCCCAAGTAGCTGGTATCCCAGGGCCTGTTCTATTGTGTCCCTCAAGCCTTCTCCAGGTAAGGGTGTGCTGTTTCTTTGGCTGTCCTCAGAAGCGTCATCTTCTTCACTTTCTTTACCTTTCATTCCCCAAAGATCCTTTGCTTTCAGCACCCCAACTCCTTTGGCACCAGATGGAGCAGGCCACACCTAATGAGGTTCTGTGGAATTCTCACTTGGCTGGGGCTACAAGATTTTACCCATATGATGAGCTCAGGAGCAGCCAGAAGTGAGGCTCCCTGGGCCCAGTTCCATACCCCTTCTCCATGGACACCTATATCCCCCAGTAGACATGGACCCCAGGATGAGAACCAAATGATCCCAGAATTCCTGAGCTCATGGGATCTTGTGGCCTTGTGCTCCTTCCAGTGGTGCTTGTTCTCAAGCCCTCAGCTATGACTGGGGCTTCCCATAGCTGCAGGTACAAAGGACCATTCTTATATCACTAGAGATGTGAGGTAATTTTGCCAGCAAGCAGTCCAAGACATTGTTTTTATGTTAAGACAATTCGTGAATGTTATGTAATGAATGAATTTCAAAACCACACCAGGCCCTTGCAAAGAAGCCTTACCCTACCAGAGGGTTGTCTCAGGTTAGTTCTTTTTCTTCCTTTCTTTTCTTTCTTTCTTTTTTTTTTTTTTTTGGATGGGGCTTGAACTCAGGACCTACACCTTGAGCCACTCCACTAGCCCTTTTTTTGTGAAGAGGTTTTCAAGATATGGTCTTGAGAACTATCTGCCTGGACTGGCTTTGAACCATGATCCTCCTGACCCCAAGTAGCTAGGATTACAGGGGAGCTACTGGTGCTGGCCGCCTCAGGTTATTTCTTTAGACTTCAGCCCCCAGTCTGTCTATGTCCAGGCCCCTGTGGATGGAAGACTTGGGGACAGTTCCTTTATAAAAGGTCAAGAAGACGAGGACCAAGTAGAGAAGTCTGAGGACACATCGCTAGGAAGAGTTGGGATTCTAAACCTTAGATTTGTTCTTTTCCCTGTACCAAGAATTGCTACCTATTAAACGCTATTGAGCAAAAAGGGGTCCAGGATGGAAAGGGACTCTGGGTTAACCCTTGCTTATCCAGAAAATGTAGTTAAAAATAATTTTGCTTTAAAAGTCTGTGTTCTGAATGAAGCTGGTCCCATTCAGTGATGAGAATATTTCCTTCCTCCTTCAGGATCTAGTATTCTGTGTTTGGAAAGAGTCTTAGGTGACAAAAGGAATAGAAGCCCAACTTCACAGCAGGGAGGGAGAGGACAAAGGCACCATTGGACTCTGAGCCTGGGAACTGACAGATCTGGTTGTACTGTAGCAACCTTGGGACTATCCTTGGTCACACAGCACAGGCTGGACCTGTACATGCATGCTCCTGTGTGTGCATACACACACACATGCACACACACACACACACACACACACACCTGCTCAAGGCCCACAGGTACCTGAAAGCTTATAATCAAACAGTGTTCCACAAAGCTAAAATGTAAGAGATTGTTATGCATCGAGCTCTGGCCTCCCTACCATGCAACACCCAGAAACACCTCAAATAAAACAGGAAGGGTGAAATCACTGGGAGCCAGGGCATTAGGGCAGCACAGTTCATCTGTACTTGAACTGCTCTCCTTCACGACAGGCATGGGGCGCACGTCTGTAATCCCAGCACTCAGGAGGCTGAGGCAGCAGGATTGTGACGTCTAGTCAGTGAGACCCTGTCTCAAAAGCAAAAACCAACCAAACAAAATGCTACTATTCTTCAAAGGATTAAATAAGGGTCAAAGTTTATGCTTTGTGAAGGTGTCTTATCTTTGACATTATTTTAAAAGTATGACACCCAATAGTCTAAACCCTGTACAGCCTGGCTTGTTGCTATTCTGTGAACTTCCAGTAGTCGCATCTCACAGAAGTGCAACTCTCAATATCATTTAATCAAGTCAATTAATACTGTTTAATAAATAAGCCAGAAAATTAGCTGAGAGTTTCTCGGCAGGATGCGGCGTGCCACCAAAGTTATGGAAGATTGTCCCTTGAATCACTAAGGCAAACTTCGTTGAGTGTCATTTTACATAGAGCAATCACATAAAAAGAGTTATAAATAGAAAAAATTCCAAAGTCCTCCCACAGACAGACAGGGAAATCAGAACATCAAAAAAAAAAAAAAAAAAAGAAAAAAAAGGAAACAAAACAAAACACAACCAACCCTCCCCCAACCCATTTGCTTCAAGTTCTTGATCATACAGTACTTAACATCTTTGGATATTTTACAATGTCCAGCTCCAAACTGCAGCCAATAAGAAACAAAAAGAACTAACCAGTCATCTGAAAACTTGAGTTTATAAGAAGTCATTACCTTTACAAAATAAAAACAAAAGCCCAACACCACTGGATTCCACACTGTTCATTTGTTCATTTTTAAGTTTGGTTTGGTCCCAGTCCCTTGACTGATGGGGACCGTGGGTGTGTGGCTGGCAGATCCCCAGAAGCAAGCTTGAAATGAAGACAGGAATCTAAAAGGTGGCTTCCCAAGTAGATGACCGCTGAGGACCAGGTGTCTGAAGCAATTCTGCCTGGCTGGGATGGTGTCTGCTGGGACAAGGAGGCAGGGAGTCCCTTCTGGAGAGCTGTGAGAGGGACAGAGTCTGTGGTCTTCTCTGGCCTTTTTGTTGTTTTTGTGTTTGCTCAGGAAACAGCCAAGGCGATAGGAAGAGCCAAGTCTCTTGTGCCCACAGTATGAAGTTGGACTCCAGTCCTGGGCCATCCAGGCAGATGTGCACACCTCTCTGAACTACTGAGAAACCAAAGCAAACTCAGCAGGATGAAAGAAGAAAGGAAAGGAGAGAGCTGTCGGGGAGGCATGGATCAGCAGGGCTCTTTTCCTGCTCAGGACCTGCTACCAAACTCAGAACCAGGAGAGTTTGTGACTTCCCAACTCACAGAGCTCTTCAAACCCCCAAAAGCACCCTCCTCCCTCACCAAGCCCTGTCAAAAGAGGGGAGCCAAGCACTCCAGCCTCAGCCTCAGGGCAGGGGAACGGGGAAGTGCAGGAAGGGGGTGGAAGGTTCAGACACTGCAAAGTGGGACAGTCACCAGCAATACAAAGGCCTGGAGAAACCCCCAACACGAGAAACCAACAGATGGCCTCTGGGTGACTAGGCTAGCTCTGCTTTCAGGAATCTGAAGGGAGGTAGGCGCCAGGTGTTGAAAGCTGGCCCTGTCCCTTCCATGTTGGCCCTAGAAGACTAGAGAGGGCATGTAGATGTGGGAGTGAATGCTGACTACTGTTCCTGGGGGTCCAGACATGACAGTGGGCAGCATTTGGAGTTCCCTGAGCTGCCTGTGGGCTATGGATAGGCAAGGAAGCCCCGCCCACCTGTCTCTGTCCTCCCTGTCTAGTTTGGCCACTTTTCTTATCTACTTGAATGTCCAGGTGGAGGTGATAAAGCTAAATCCAGTAAGATCAACTGTTTTCCCAGAGACCTGGGGAGTGCAAAGCTCCTACCCTCCAAGGATTCTCTTTGGAAGAATAGGTGTAAATATGTGTTGAGGTCGGGGTGGGAAAACCTAAATTACCACCCCCTTTCTCAGCAGGATGACACAGAGGCACAGAGGATTGACCTGTCCAAGGTCATAGGACAAGTAAATTAAAAATGGGTCCAGACTCCAGCAGCATGGCTCCTGGCTCCAGGAGGCCTCCACGTCAACTGGGCATTTATTTCTCGGTGGCAGGCAGGCCGTTCTCAAAGGATCCCAGGATCTCTGGGTACTGGTAAACAGCACTCAGAGCAGTGTTGGGAAGTGGGGCTGACCAAGGTGCGTGTCCAGACCCTGGCCTCATTCTTGCTCCATGGGGCCTGCCTCTGGGCCAAGCAACTCCCCCTTTTGGCCCCACAGGACTCCAAAGTGCTTAGGGCACCCAGAACCCTGCTCTCCTCTGTGGCACAGCCCCCTGAGCGTTTCCGTCTAAGACAGAGACAACCAGGGAGAGACCTCAACTCCAGGCCGTTTGGAAAGCGATGCCCAGCTCAGACACCCGCAAAAGGGAGGTGGCTGCCTTAGGAGGCTCCTGCTTTTCATTTTCCCTTTGTTTCAAAATAAGAAGTTCAGACCCCGTGGCTGGGGCAGGACAGGCCGGGGATTGGAAGCAGGGACAGGGCTGGGGATTGGAGTTTACCAGGGCCAGCCTAGTTATTGGCTTCAGACATGGAGGCCACGTGATTGAGGCCAGCAAGCCCAGGGAGGCCGGTCAGGCCCGCGGCCCAGGGGTCGGGCAGCGGGAAGTAGGGCCGCGCTGCGGCCACGTTCTCGGCCAAGGCCAAGGCCAGGAGGCCGCCCGCGTTCCTCTCGGCTTCGAGCTGCGCGTGCCCGAACAGCTTCATCTGCGTCTCCTCGAACTGCCGCTCCAGCTCCTGCAGACTCAGGGCACCCTTGGGTGCCGCCAGGAAGTGCTTGGCAGGACTGGGGCCCGGGAGGCACACGGCCGCGCCGCCCAGGTGGCCGCCCACCTCGCCCAGCGCAGGCGGCATCACGAAGGCCGCCTTGTCTGGCGTGGGACCGCCGGGCCCAAAGAGCAGGCTGGCGGCCCTCCAGGCGGCGGGCTTGCGGCCGCGCCGGGGCCGCGCCATGCGGCAGCTCTGGCGCTTGATGTGGCGGTGCAGGTGGTCGGAGCGCGTGAAGCTCTTGTAGCAGAACTCGCACTGGTAGGGACGCACGCCCGTGTGGATGCGCATGTGGTTCTTGAGGTCGTAGTTGTGCACGAACTTGGCGTTGCAGTGAATGCACAGGTAGGGCCGCTCCCCTGTGTGCTTCCGCATGTGGATCTTCAGCTTGTCCTGCCTGCAAATGCAGAACCCGGGCGTCAGTCCCCGTGCAGAACGCGGGACTGGGGGTGGGGAACGCTTTGCTTCCCCTTCCTCCACAATCCGCCACGGCTCCCTATTGCCGTGGTGTCAGACCTCAAGAGTGGGACCCATGCTTCAACTTCTGCCTCCCCTCAAACAGATGTGGCTACTCACCTTGATTAGAGATGCAGGACAGTGTCCCGAAAGACCACTCCCTCCCCGCCACCAAAAGTCCTTTCACGCGCAAGCTCAGAGTAATGAATCTCCCACTGTTTATCAGGGGCCTGTTTCATATACTGAAAAAGAGACTTGTTGGAGAGTTATGTTCCCAGAAGTCACCATTTTGGCCCTAACCCTCCGAAGATACAGCAGCGTCTCCTGATATGGATTGCACTTTCATCTCAGTCCTTCTCCAAGTGACAGTCTTCCCTTTGGAGCCATCCTGTGCTTTTGTCCGTAGCCCCTGTCCCAACCCAGCCCCTGGACTATCGAGAACTCTCTGTCCTCTGCCCTAATCCCCAGAATCTAGGAGCCGGGCACACCTTGTTCAAGTCTCCTGCCCTGTGGTTTCTTATCCTAAACCCTGGGCTCTCTTTGTCTGCACACAATTTCAGGGTTTACAAAAGAGCCAGGGGCAACAAGAATGCAGCCTAATCTTGGGCAAAGCTCTCCAGGGTTTAAGAGTATTATTCAGAGGTAAGGCATGGTACTGGGTGGGGATCCTATGGGATCTGGGACCCCTGCTCCTGCTGCAGACCCACCGCCAGCTTGCTGGGTGATCTTAGGTAAGTTACGTAACCTCTCTGTGCAGAGCTGAACCTAGGGCCAAACATCAGTGGCCACTGTGTGATTCTTCAAGGCTGTTGGAGAGTCTGGGTTGGTGTGAGCCAGGGCCTACACCCCTCCTGGCGGTCTTGAATGGAAAATCCACCTCCTGTGGTTGTTGTCCCAAGGACTGAGTATTCAGTAATTTGGTCTAAGGAGCCTTTCAGCCTGGCTGGGGTTGAGGCAGCTGGGTGGTAGTGAGTCCTCCCAGAATTCTTCTGGAGCTTTCCCTCAACTGGCTGGAAGCCAGGATGCTTTGAGTCCCGTCTCTCCACCTCCTCTCTGCAGGTGGGACTTGGGTGGAGCCTCTGCCTATAATTTCAGGCTTGGTTTTGAGGTCAGAGCAGATGTGGAGCTCAAGTGTCCTTAAAATGACCACATTTAAACCATGCTCAACATAACCCCTAACAGCAGGAGCCGCCCTGGCATCCCCTGGCCACTAGAGGTCTCACTGGCCCTCATTTTTAAAACAGTCCCCCGAGGGAGGGCCTGGGGCAGGAGAGCAAGGGACATTCTGTGGACACCATGATGATGGGAGTACAGAGTCAGGCCTCCCACCTGTGCTCACAAGAGGGGTGAAGGGCCCAGGAATGCTGGAAGGAGGGGAGCAGGCAGGGGGAGGAAGAGGGTGTTGCTGCCTCAACCTGGCTGGTCTCCTATGTACACCTTACTCTCCTCTCTCTCATAACCCACAGTTCCCTGCTGCAGCATCCCAGTCCCAGAAGTACCCGTGACCTGGGTGATTGGATGTTAGAGCAGGAGAGGGACTTGAGCATGCATGAGAACATTATCAGGACTTGATCCTCATTCAGAGGCTGGGGAGGGGGAGGGGGAGAGAATGTGCATTTCTAACAAGTTGTCAGATGCCACTGCTGCTGCTGGTGGCCCAGGGGCCCCACATTGAGAACCAAGGGCCTCAGTGAGTCCTTCACTTGGTGGCGAGGCCCAGTAAGGCAAACTGACCAAGCTCACCCACAGGGTGATGACAGAGCTAAGACTAGAACTCAGGCGTGGGAGGTCAGGGCCTTTTTTTCTCACCATTGCACAGTGATCTGTGATAAAATGTAAGGGTGGGGTTCACGGTGCCATTTGGACCCCTTAGCAGTGCTACTTTCATAGTCCCAAGGGATATGTCTTGGACTCTATCATTTCACTGGGACTCTCTGATGGCAACAATGCTAGGTGGCCAGCTAGGCTCACTCACTGGCTGAGGGACTTGCAAAGGGCTCTGTTCAGTCACCTGTCAGGCTTTAAATACACTGTCTCATTTCATCCTTACCACAGCCTGAGGTACATATATATTTTTAAAATCACTATTAACACATAATAGTGTTAATACTTATTCTTTGGGTGGCTCTAACACCCAAAGTACAGTGTAAATGGTAAATCTCCAAATGCCAAGAGCCTCCTATAAACACCTACTTCTTCCAGACTGCTTATTAGGGCATCTCAGAAAAAAAAAAAAAATCCCATCTTGGACTGGGGTTGTGGCTCAAGTGGTAGAGCACTTGCCTAGTATTCATGAGGTCCTGAGTTCAAACCTCACCAAAACCCCTTCAAATCCCATCTTAGTAGCAGTTGACTCAAGTGTGTAAGAAGTGCTGGGAAATGCACAGATATCCTTCAGTTGAGCACCTGCTCTGGGCAGGCACACACTATCTCAGTGACCTGGAAGGTTGCTATTCAGAGGTAGGGTGTGGTGTGGGGGCAGGGCCCCTGGGGATGTGGAAGAGGGTTTCACATGGAGGACTCTCAGCCTATGAGGCTGTCTCAGAAATTGCAGAGTGGAACAATCAAAAGAGGTCAGTGCCAGAAGGGACACTGCAGCCCTGGGCAGGCTGGCTTTCCCAGGTGGAGTCATGGGAGCAGTGGGGGAGGGTGGGGAGAAAGGGCAAAGCTTGGGGCAAGCCAGTCCTGGAAAAACCATGAAGGATCCTTAGCTCAGCAGGTTTGCTAAGCACATTTAGACCTGTGTCATTAGCAGGCTTCCACCGATAGAATCCAGTGCTCCCACTTCCAAGGTGACAAGAGCAAGGAGCAGAGAGGGAACCACATTCTAAGGTCACATAGCCTCCTGATTCATGCCATTAATTTTTTATGTGAATACAACAACAAGCACATTGGTGGAGCTGAGCCTAAGCTCCAAAGAACTGGGCTGGGTTCCTGCACTGTCTGGGGCCTCACTTTCCTGATCTGTAAAATGGGGACTGGCTGTACTGTTTTGATCTCCATGTTCCCAGAGAGTTTGCATCTGGGTTAACAGGCTGATGCCAAGACTCTTGCTGGGCTTATTTTGGCTGGATGACTTCCTGTATGAAAGCTTCAATTCTTCATGTATCTGGGAGCAGAATGAATTTGGGTGAAACAGGCTTGCACTGCACCTGAATATCAAGAGCTGAGTTCTTGTTACTTCCCTGCATGAAGAGAGTTCTGGGGTCCCTCTTAGAATCTCCTGAGGATTTTCTATGTGCTAACTGACCCCTGAGCACCACTTTCAAGGCTGCTTCTCCCACTGTGGGCTATCATCAGGCTGAGCCAAGCTACCAATCCCCAGTGCCAAGGGTGGCCACACCATAGTGAGAGTGGATGCTCTGTATCCCCGGCTCTTCCTCTCTGGTGTTTGAACATTGATGTTCCCTCCTTGGGGGCCCCATCAGGAGGCCAAGCCTGTCATCCCAGCCTCACTCTTCCCTGTCCCATCTCTTCATCTCTGAGTGTACTCTTTCAAACAGCCCTGTCAGGGATATCTCCCAGTCCAGATCTCCTTCAAGGTCAAATTCAAGAGTGACCCTCCACAAACCCTGCCCTGTGCCCCCAGGTCTCAGGGTGTCATCCAGCTCCCTGACCTTACAGACTTCTGTGACTTGAATACTGCAGGTCACCTGAGGGACAAAGAGAAGCAACACAAGATAAGGCCTAGCGACAGAAGATAAGTTCAGTCCCTAGCACTGAAAAAAATCAAATGCTGAAGACAAGAGGCAGCAGCTCTCCCTGTCCCTCTATGAGTCCTGTACGTGTGAGCATTGCTCTGCCAGCAGGTCAAGTGTGAAGGGGACCTGAGCCTCTGAGTCTGCATTGTCTAAGGCCCTGCTTAGACACTCCAGGTATTCCTGGCAGATGACACCTATCTAGAGGCAGCTTGGCAACGGCTGCCTCTAGTTTCTGTGGTCCTGTTCTTTCCAGCAAGGGTCATTGTGTGTGCTATTGTCCCTCAGGCATGCAGTGCCACTGCCTGTCCCTGGATCCTAGAACCCTGCCTGTTATGAGTGTAGGCAGCAAGGAGATCCTGGAAGCACAAACTCATGGACAGGGAAGCAGAGATCCCTGAGGGATACAGAAAAGGAATGCAGACTCATGGGCACTCCTCTCAGCTAATTGTCAGCAGGGCTCAGGTGCTCACTGTGAGCCAGGCATTGTACCTGGTCTCCCTGGAGCCCATGAAGCCAGAGTTACCATCGTTCTCATAAGGAAATGAAAGCAAACAAGGATGAATAAGTTCTCACAGCTCCCTCATCTCAGGCAATATACAAATGGAGTTGGGAGACTGGGAGCAACCTTAGGGAACACCTACTTCCTCCTCAAGTTATTATATCTGGGACACAGAGGGCAGGAGACATGGGCAAGGCCACACAGCTAGGAAGAGGCAGAAGCAGGCCCTGAACCTGGCCTTTTGATGACTATTCCAGTGCTCTTTTCAAAGTGCCACCACCTACAAGAGGTGAGGAATGAACCTGCATTCATTCATTCATTTAGGATAGCACTTTCCAGCCCTCTTCCAGCCTGGGGCATGGAGGCAGTGGTACTTGCTGCAAGAAGTACCTGTACAATGCTCCTTTGTACTCTTCAAGGTGTACGATATTGAATGTAGGTAGAGTGGGTACTCATTGCTCATTTGTTGACTGACCAATGATCAGCAGGGTCAATTTCAGAACTCCCCAACTCCAATTCCCATGTCCTCATCTCTGGCTTTCGCTCGCTCCCCTTATCTGCCATCTCGCTCCATTTCCTTGCCTAGGGGATCCAGCCAAGCCCATGTGCACCCGTGCCTGATCTGCAGTCTCTCTCCCAGCTCTGAGAGCTCATTGCTAGAAAGATACAGGTGTTTTCCCTGAGTGAAGGCAAGAGCTTGGCCTGGGTCTGGGTCCCAGCCTCTGGAAAGTTCCCAGACAAGGTGATGCCTCCCAACACTGTCCATCCAGACTTCCTGGTGACCTGATGGGCTAAGATGACTCTTCCTGCCACCATTGCTAATGACATTACATTATCATATCAAGGTTCCCAGAGCTGCTGGGAGGGGTGGACCGGAAAGAAAATCAGGGAGAGGAAAGTGGGCCCCTGGTCTGCAAAGCAGGCAGCTGTCAGGGAGGAGAGTGGGTATCAGCATTCAGCTGGCACTGGGGGTGGGACACTGGACTTAAAGTTTCATCCTTGGGGATGTTGACAGGGGATTCTGCAGGAACTGGTGGCATCCTGGGTGGGTTCTTAGTGAGTTGGGGCTGTCGGTCCTTTCCTGATGGTGTGTCTGCTATGGGACCTCTGTTGCCGTGGGGACAGCCTCTTCTTGTCTTACAACTTCCTGCCTCCACTACTTGGCCATCAGACATGGCTGATGTATCTGTGTGAGCTAGGCCATAACTGGCAAGCAGAGGCTACAGGAGGGAGCCTGTAGGACCTCCTGGCAGAAAAATGGGTGAGGCAGAGGGCAAATCCCCAAAACCAGCCATCAAGGACTGATGTGGCAGGAAGAGAGGAGGGCACACAGAGGCTTTCATGGGGCCCAGAGCTGTGCAGTCCTCACTTGTAGGCCTAGTCTTCAGACTCTCTGGGAATAGAGTGTGAAGGAGCCCTGATGAGGGGACTCTGGTAATCTTGGCCCAGACTGTCACTGCCCTGTCCTGAGCTGTATCTCTCCCAAGTCAGGTTGGGCAGAAGCTGTCTTTCTGTGGCTATCAGAAAGTAAAAGGTTTCTTTGGAAGTAAAGGGTGCCCTTAGACCAGGCCAAGGCATGGGTCGAGCTAGGGGGTGGCATGGGACCATAGAGACAATTTGGGTGAAGCCTATGAGGTGCTGCCAGGGAAGGGGATTTCTTATCTAGAACCAATTAATGGTAGGACAACTGGTGTGCTGACATGTAGCGCTAACTCAGAGGTGAGACTCCTGACACCAAGGAATAGATGACACCATGGCAGGGGAGGCCTCAGTCCCTCCTCTTGGACATGGGTAGAATGGAGGCAGCAGGTGGGGTCTTGGGGGAGGAAGTTGCTCTGCTGAAAAGACCCACACTCCTCTACTTTGGGTACAGAAGTCATCAGGAATGGTGTCCCCCGGGGTGCAGACATTCTGGGACTTGGCATAAACTCAGGGTCTGGGCCAAAGGGCCCCCACTCAGGGGAAGGACAGGCCTCCTTTCAGGAGGGATGAAGTGGATCGGATGCTCTACCCAGCATGCAGGAGGGAGGAAACGAGGCCTTGCCAGAGACAGGAGCTCAGCTGTGAATAAGGAAGGACTCAGATTCCAGATAGGGGAGTTATGTCCCAGAAGTCTGCAGGGCAGTGTGTCAGAGCCCTCTTGGCCTCCATGGGGTCTGGTATCAGACTGGCTTAGCTTGCAAGGGAGTCTGGGAAAGGCAGATCAGTGAGGCAGCCACTGCTGCAAAAGAGCTTCCAGATGGACAGTGAAGGGAAGAAGTTATGGATCATGGCCAGTGGACTCAGCCAAAAAGGACCCCATAGAAAGTCTGCAAGGGGCTTGGCTATAGAGAGAACCGCAAGAAAACCTCAACCTGGATAGGCCAGGGTTGAGGGGTCTTTGAGGACAGGAAGGAATCATTGCAGGGCAGCCCCCAGAGAGAGGCAGGAAACAAAGAGCCAGTGGTTCTGAGGAATGTGATGGGGTGGGGGGAGGGGATAGAGCACATTCAGCATGGACAGACACAGCCCATGGTGAGAAATAAAGTCCCTGATGGGAGTCAGGCCAGAAAAAATGTCCTCCGCCCCTCTTGCCCCTTGACCCTGGGCTTTCTCTGCTTCTGGGAAAGGTGGGGGGAGCAAAGCTTGTCTGATCTTGTTCCGGAGGGTCGGAGCCCAGTGGGAACCAAGCAGTAGGAGGTGAGGTGGGGGCTGGATAGCAGCTGCTGCAGCTGGAGACGGGCTTGGGGCCCAGATGGCAGTCATCCTGCTGAGCAGGAGGAACCTGAGGGAGGGTAGGGCAGATGGTTGGGTAGCCGGAACCTCCCCAGGCCTGATCTAGCCTGGAGGGGTAAGAAGACTACAGACATAGAGGCCACCCGAAGTGACCATCAGGAATGTGCTGGGAGGGAACATTCTGGAATGTCTCTCTCCTATACAAAACAACATTGCTCCCCCAACCAGGAGGCCTTCTCCCAGAGAATGTTCCAGTGTCCAGAGGGCAGTGACTGGTCAAGTTTAAACTTTCCCTAGGGAAGGCAGGACCCACAGGCAGGCCAGACCTGTAGGTACCTCACAGAAGGCTAGTGTGGGAAAGGCAAGAGATGAGGGGCAGGGAAGGAAGGGAGAGGGGGCTTCTGGGTGCAGGTGGGTTAACTGTCTTGTTCCCTGGGATGCATATGCTGTTGAAGCCCTAAGTCTAAGTATTCCAGTCAACCATCTGCTAAGTGACAGGCACAGGAGGCCAGGGATGAGGAGCTAGCCTGAGTAGGGCTCTCCTGGCTGATTCAGTAGCTGACTTCCCCTGATCTGGCCTGGGTCAGGGGAAGTCATTCCCAGGGGACCTGGGAATTTCAGGTTGGAGCAAGTCCTATGCTGAAGATGAGTGAATCGCACTTGCACTTGGTCTTCACATGAGCTCTGGTTTATCTCCCTATCATTCTGTGCTTTGGTTAAACCTTTTCCAGGTATTCTAACCTGGCCGGAAGGAGCTAAGTGAATTCAGAAGAAGGCAGAGGCTGGGAGGTGGGGATAGCATCACTCAACATGGCATGAGTGTGGCAAGGACAGCCAAGGGGAGGTGGGTCTCGGGAACCTTGGGTCCAGCTGCTCCATGGGATAATAACGGTGTCCCAAGGTTAGCATTGCAAGGAAACTGTCAACAGGTCACTGCTAAGAGTTAGGGGACAGCCACCTCTTGGGTATGCAGTCTCTCTCCACTGTCACCTACAAGTGTCTGGGACAGAGTCTGTGTGGGGTTCCCCACTCAGGTACAGCTATGAGCAGAATTCCAAGGACAATTTGGACATGGTCAGTGTTGTCCTTGGAAGCAGTCACCAGGGGAGCCTACAGAGCTACTTTAGCAATGCCACTGCCACCTGTACATACTTCTGAACCCTTCTGAGCCCTTCTCTGGCAACCTCAAATGGAGTTCTCACCCATCCAAGAGAGGAGGCCTCACCTTGTTTTTCCCTAGAAAAGCACAGTGTCTAATTTGACATCCAGCCTGACTCAAAGATTTCACTCCATCCTCAGAGGCCAATGCTTTTGGGCCCACTGAAGAATGGGCCTCCACAATTCCCAACCTTCCAAGAGGATAGGGGGTGACAGTGACACCTTTAGAAAAAGAGGGGGTGAGTCAGAGTGAGTTCTGCAAGGGGGACAGTGGCAGTGGGGAAGGACCTAGCTCAGTGAACTGTGGCTGCAGGGCAGGTGTTGCCAGGCTCTGTCGACATCTGACACTGAAATGCCAAACCCTGTAGCCAGGTCATTTGCCTGAGGTCTCCCCACTGTGCACCGGCTGAGAGGACCAATCTCACACCAGGGACCGTCAGCAGCACCAACAGGCTGTGTTTTTCCAAAAATGAGGCTTTTCCAAACCTAGGAGTGGACAGATGTGACTCTACATCATCCTACCTATCAGTTTTGACTACAAAAGTTGCTAAGTGGAGAAGGTATATTACATATGCTTGCCAAACGGATGGCATCTCTGAAAGATCAAAGGTTTATAATGTGTTGATTTCAAATTTTGTAACATCCTTCTTCCAACATGGTACTGAGGATTAAATCCAGGACCTTGTGCTTGCTAGGCAAGAGCTCTACCACTTGAGCCATGCCCCCAGCCCTTTTGTTTGTGTTTTGTTTTGATATAGGATCACACTAACTTTTCCTGGGCTGGCATTGGACTTGCCATCCTCCTGACTCCACCTCCCAAGTAGCTGGGATTGCAGGCATGAGCTACCGTGCCTGGCTAGAAGCCCGTCCTTTAAGGATGATGGAAAGGGCTGGTTGAGGTCTCTGCAGTTTCCTGGTCACAGACTTCACTCTCACACATGGACTGGGATTCAAGTCCTAGCTCTACCATTTTCCAGCTGCACTTATGAGTGGCCAGCTAGCTACTTGGTGATGGGCCAAAAACAAAGGCAATAGTATCTTCCATCGTGCTAGGGCACCTGCTTAACAAAGGCTAACTGCTGATTCTCCCAATGTAATCACTGGGAGCTTCAGGCTGGGCTCCATGGACTTGCCCAGGGAGGAGACAGGGAGACCAGGAAATGAGGTTCTGAGGCCTCTTATCTCTATCTTCCCAGAACAGCTCTGCTCTGACCTATAGCTGAGAAAATATTTTAACTCCTAAAGCCTTCTAAAAAGAGCTTGAAAATCCCCCTACTAGATAATGCCCAGCACCCCTCCTTCCAATGAACCTGACGTTTGTCTAGGATCAAGCTAGGGCTCTCGATCCATCCCCAGCCCTCCATGTCTCTCTCTGCTGTCCCAGCCCCGCCCGGCCCTGCCCACAGCTGCAGCCGCACCTGGTGAAGCGGACTTCACAGACGTTGCACATGTATGGCTTCTCCCCAGTGTGGGTTCTCATGTGCCGAGGCAGCTTCCCGGCCCCCATGATGACCTTGTGGCAGATGGGGCACTGCTGAGAGGCCTTGGGCTTCAGCTTGCGCTCCTCCACCAGAGGCCAGGGTGGGAAGAGGCTCCCTAGGTGGGTGGCACTCAGGAAGTTGAGATAGGCACCATAGTCATTCTCCGCCTTGATGGGGCCCAGTGGTCCCCCGGGCAGGTCAGGGAACATGTCCTTGAAGAAATCACTAGGAAAGGGTGGTGGTAGGGGTGGAGGCAGCTCTTCCTTCTCCTCTTCCTTGATCTTCCGGTTCTTGATGACTAGATCCAGTGGTCCACTGTCCATGGGCTGCTCGGGCAGCTGGGCAAAGGCACCAAAGTCCCCTGGCCAAAGGTGTGGGAAGAAGTCTGGGGCAAATGGAGACAAGGATGGTCTCCTGTCAGGGATGTTGGCTTTGGGGTACAGGTTCTCCCTCAGCAGAGATTCAATGGAGAAGTCCCGGATCACCCCTAGATGGCCAGGGCTGCCAGCTGGGAAGGAGTCAGGGAAGTCCCTGGGTGTGTCCGAATAGGCTGTCTCCGTGAGATGGTCTGTTTTGGAGGGACTTTGGTGGCAGTTGATGTCCTGGGGGTCAGGCAAGTTTTCTTGGTCTGCAAAGTCCTCTGTATCATCATCGTCATCCTCCTCTTCTTCCTCTTCCTCCTCCTCTTCGTCCTCCTCATCATCATCATCCTCGTCATCATCGTCATCCTCCTTGTCGTCCTCCTCGCCGCCATCGCCACCTGGCTCCATGATCTCCAGACACACGTTCACAATGCACTGGATCTCCAGCATCCTGGCGGCATTGAGGATGTGCTTGACATTGGAGGTGGTGATGGTGAGTGTGGAGGTGTAGGCGAACTCCAGGATGGCGGCCAGGGCCTCGGGTTGGACAAAATCGATCTCGTAGACGTAGGGCTGGCTGGTCAGGCTGCCAGCTGTGAAGAGTTTCTTGAAGTACTTGCTGCAGGCGGCCAGCACAGAGCGGTGAGTGCGGTACTCCTGCTCCTGCACCACCAGCAGCACGTCGCACAGCAGCCCAGCGTGCCGCTGCTCGTTGAGGCTGCACAGTACCTCGCTGCTGTGGTTGGGGAAAGGGATGCCAATGAGCTCGTCAATGCCATTGGCCATGTTCTCAGCCAGAGCTCTGCAGGGACACAGAGAGGAAGACAGGTTAGTGAGCACAGCGGGAGCGGGGCTTAGCACCACTTGCCCGCTGGCATAGCTCCCCCTCTGCTAGGAACGACCATCCTACGTGTCAGCTCTGCTAAGCCTCACCCGCAAGTCTCAGCTTAAGTCTCTGCACCCTAGGACTCAGCTGAGTAAGGACTCAGCAGTGGGTGTCAGCTCCTGAATCAAAGCCACAGCAGCTCCTGGAAGGCTTGATTCACTGGCTGCCACTTTGTTAACGTGGAATTGTGGAATACCAGAGCTGTACGAAACCCAGTTGTTACATGTGCTCTGAGGATGATGTCCACCTATCGCACAAAGACCGCCCAGTGCTGCTGCTGAGAAAGGCTCTGGTTTGCTTTACAAATCCTAGGATGCTATATAAAAGACTCATATTTTGCACTGTCTACCAGGAAGCTTAAAATCAATTTTTTGGCTCATTTTCAGCAAGTAAATGGGGGCCTTGTGGCACATATTTTGCTTCCTGACCTTACTCCTGGCTCCATTGTAACTGGTGGAGTTTCCTTTCATTTGCAATTCTTGATATTTTCAAAAATACTAACGTCCTAAATATGCATGTCTATGAGCCATTCACTTATAAATAGACATTTAAAATCAATGTAGATGTAAGTGCACTGTTAATTAATTTATCATGTCTGTATTTTGTTAGCCTCACATATATATATATATATGCCCTGTGGAGAGAAGCTGCTTCTGAGACATCCTTGTCACGAAGACATAATGACATCTTTGTCATTTTGGAGGGTCCCTGACTTACGATGGTCTGATTTAGGATTGTTTTGACTTTACAGTGGTGTGAAAGTGCACCCATACAACTATTCTGTTTTTCACTTTCAACAGTATTCAATGAGTTATGTGAGATATTTGACACTGTTATAAAATCTGCTTTGTGTTAGGTGGTTTTGCCTTACTGTAAGCTAATGCCAGTGTTCTGAACATGTTTCAGGTAGACGAGGCTAAGCTATGATGTTTGATAGGCCAGGAATATTAAATGATTTTTTTTTTGAGACAAGTTCTCACTATTGTAGCCATGCTGGCCTTAAACTCTTGGTCTTCCTGCCTCAGCCTCCTGTGTGCTGGAATTATAGACGTACCACTATTCCTGGCGTTTTTCACTTATAATTTTTTCAGCTATCCATGTGTTTATTGGGACGTAGTCCCATCATAGCCAAGGAGCATCTGTCTATATGTTATGTGTGAAGTGTGACCAGTGGTGGCCACCAGGAGAGAGTAGGACAGTACAGAGGACAATTGGTGTCCCCTCCTTTCATAACGCTCAGCCTCTGCTACAGTAGGTAGGACCCTTTTACACATGGCAAAGCCTCAACATGATCCATGGATAAATCCTAGAAAGGGCCTGATCATTATCTTGGTACAATCAAAATGAGAAAAGAAAAATAAAAACTGCAAGCCCCACACTCCAGTGGGAGGAGCTCTGAGGATCCCCACACATCTATCTTATAGAAGTCTCACCTCTGGGAAGGCAGAGGCAGGGGAAGGGAGGAGAGATAAGTGCAGGCCCACAATGCAGAGGTTCCAGGGAGCCAGTGGGCACACAGGGTGCTGGATGCTTCTCCTCCAACCCCCACCTTCCCCTGCATCATGGATCAGCATCGACCTTTTCTAAGCAGTCCCACCTGGACGGTTGCTTAGGAGGTTTCCCAGAGCCTCCTACCTTCTCATCATTAAAAGAACCAGAGACTACAGGCCATGCCATTCGTCCCTAATTATTCCTTGAGTCCTCTCCTTCTTCCAGGCACTGCCCTGAGTTCTGAAGATGCACAGAGAAAACCAAGAAGGCTCTGACCTGACAGAGCTAATGGAGACTTAGCAACTGTGATAAAAGTAGGGTTTGCTTCACCAAAGAGATGTACAGATGACAAATAAGCCAGTTTATTTGAAAAAGTTGTTAACCATTAGAGAGATGCAACTTAAAACCACAATAACTTATTGCTACACACCTATTAGAGTGGCTAGAGTAAAAAATAATGAACAACTGGTAAAGAAAATGGATCACTCATATAGTGCTGATGAGAAAGCAAGATGGTCCAGCTTCCCCGAAGACAGGTCAGGAATTTCTTTAAGAGTAAGATGTACAACTGCCATGTGATCCAGCAGAGGCACTGCTGTGTATTTATCCAGGGAAATGGAAACCTTTTCTTCATGAAGCCCCAAACTGGAAACCACCGAGGCGACCTTTAGCTAAGCGCAATGTGGTACGTCCGTGCCCCTGGAACCACATTTTCTGCAATGAGAAGGAACAAGCCCTCCATGAAGGAACAGCCTGGATGGGTCTCCAGGGAAGTAAGAGGGGGAAAAAGCCAATCCCAAAATGTGTGGTCTCATTTATACAACATTCTTAAGATGACAACATCATAAAAATGGAGATGGGTGAGTCAGGGGCTAAGGATGGTGGTGGTGGGAAGGAAGTGAGTGTGACCATGTAAAGGGCAACAGGAGGTACACAGTGCTCCGGAAATGTTTTGTAAAACCAAGATTTTATTGATATCAATCTCCTGTTTGTGATATTGTACTGTGGTTTTGCAAGATGGTAACTGTGCGGGAAATTGAGTAAAAGGTACATGGGATATCTCTATATTATCTTTCACAAGTGCATGTGAATTGACAGCTCTCTCAAAATAAAAAGTTTAAAAAAACCATTCCCTCTAAAATCAGGAACCAGACAAGGATGCCCCCTATCTCCACTCCTATTCAACATAGTACTGGAATTCCTAGCTAGAGCAATTAGGCAAGAAGAAGGAATAAAAAGAATACAAATAGGTAAAGAAACTGTCAAAATATCCCTATTTGCAGACGACATGATCCTATACCTTAAAGACCCAAAAAACTCTACTCAGAAGCTTCTAGACATCATCAATAGCTATAGCAAGGTAGCAGGATATAAAATCAACGTAGAAAAATCATTAGCATTTCTATACACTAACAATGAGCAAACGGAAAAAGAATGTATGAAAACAATTCCATTTACAATAGCCTCAAAAAAAATCAAATACCTAGGTGTAAACCTAACAAAAGATGTGAAAGACCTCTACAAGGAAAACTATACACTTCTGAAGAAAGAGATTGAGGAAGACTATAGAAAGTGGAGAGATCTCCCATGCTCATGGATTGGTAGAATCAACATAGTAAAAATGTCGATACTCCCCAAAGTAATCTACATGTTTAATGCAATTCCCATCAAAATTCCAATGACATTCATTAAAGAGATCAAAAAATCTACCATTAAATTTATATGGAAACACAGGAAGCCACGAATAGCCAAGGCAATACTCAGTCAAAAGAACAATGCAGGAAGTATCACAATACCTGACTTCAAACTATATTACAAAGCAATAACAATAAAAACAGCATGGTACTGGCACAAAAACAGACATGAAGACCAGTGGAACAGAACAGAGGACCCAGATATGAAGCCACACAACTATAACCAACTTGTCTTTGACAAAGGAGCTAAAAATATACGATGGAGAAATAGCAGCCTCTTCAACAAAAACTGCTGGGAAAACTGGTTAGCAGTCTGCAAAAAACTGAAACTAGATCCATGTATATCACCCTATACCAAGATTAACTCGAAATGGATCAAGGATCTTAATATCAGACCCCAAACTCTAAAGTTGATACAGGAAAGAGTAGGAAATACTCTGGAGTTAGTAGGTATAGGTAAGAACTTTCTCAACGAAACCCCAGCAGCACAGCAACTAAGAGATAGCATAGATAAATAGGACTTCATAAAACTAAAAAGCTTCTGTTCATCAAAAGAAATGGTCTCTAAACTGAAGAGAACACCCACAGAGTGGGAGAAAATATTTGCCAGCTACACATCAGACAAAGGACTGATAACCAGAGTATATAGGGAACTTAAAAAACTAAATTCTCCCAAAACTAATGAACCAATAAAGAAATGGGCAAGTGAACTAAAAAACTTTCTCAAAAGAAGAAATTCAAATGGCCAAAAAACACATGAAAAAATGCTCACCATCTCTAGCAATAAAGGAAATGCAAATTAAAACCACACTAAGATTCCACCTCACCCCTGTTAGAATAGCCATCATCAGCAACACCACCACCAACAGGTGTTGGCGAAAAAGGAACCCTCTTACACTGCTGGTGGGAATGTAAACTAGTACAACCACTCTGGAAAAAAATTTGGAGGCTACTTAAAAAGCTAAACATTGATCTACCATTTGATCCAGCAATACCACTCTTGGGGATATACCCAAAAGACTGTGACACAGGTTACTCCAGAGGCACCTGCACATCCATGTTTATTGTGGCACTATTCACAATAGCCAAGTTATGGAAACAGCCAAGATGCCCCACCACTGACGAATGGATTAAGAAAATGTGGTATCTATCCACAATGGAATTGTATGCAGCCATGAAGAAGAATGAAATGTTATCATTTGCTGGTAAATGGATGGAATTGGAGAACATCATTCTGAGTGAGGTTAGCCTGGCCCAAAAGACCAAAAATCATATGTTCTCCCTCATATGTGGACATTAGATCAAGGGCAGACACAACAAGGGGATTGGACTTTGAGCACATGATACAAGAGCACACAAGGGAGGTGTGAGGATAGGTAAGACACCTAAAAAATTAGCTAGCATTTGTTGCCCTCAATGCAGAGAAACTAAAGCAGATACCTTAAAAGCAACTGAGGCCAATAGGAGAAGGGGACCAGGAACTAGAGAAAAGGTAGATCAAAAAGAATTAACCTAGAAGGTAACACCCACGCACAGGAAATTAATGTGAGTCAACTCCCTGTATAGCTATCCTTATCTCAACCAGCAAAAACCCTTGTTCCTTCCTATTATTGCTTATACTCTCTCTACAAGAAAATTAGAAATAAGGGCAAAATAGTTTCTGCTGGGTATTGAGGGGGTGGGAGGGAGATGGAGGGGGTGGAGTAGGTGGTAAGGGAGGGTGTGGGGACA